AGAGTTTATGAATGGAAAGTTTACTTTGAAAAAGTTGCCAGATTGCTCCACTGACAAGACCAAAGTTACCTGTATGTTTTGCAGTCGTAAACTGAGCTATCAACATTGCACATCGAGTCTGAAATACCACTTAATGGCCAAGCACACAGCTGATCTGAGTACTCCGCCCCCTTGTCTCAGACAGACAGCTATGGATCATTTCAAAGCGAAGAAAATGGATGACACGACGAAGAACAAATTTGCTGAAGCCATAGCTAAATGTATGACCACTGCATGCAAGCCTGTCAACATTGTCCACAGCTCGACTCAAGCTGAAATCATTCGCATTGCGTCGAACGACTCCACTACGGATTACCAGCGAGAGCCTCCATTACAAGCTGTGTACAGAGATTGTACGTAGCGGAGAAGGCTAAGGTACACCAAGCGGGAGAAGACATTGTTTCGGGAGAGAAATAAGAGACTAGGTTGATGAGCCTCTGGTGAATAAAGAGCAGGTAGCCTGTCGAATACGACGTATACCACTGATGCGATTGTTACTTGTTTGGAACTATTTTGTGTGGAAGGTTATAGTGTTCCGTGTCCATACAAATAAAGCGGGTGGAGCTTCTCTGTGTTCGTCTGACAGTGATGGTGCACTGAGGCACGGCAAGAGTTCAGCTGTGCAGTGGTAGCGACCTAGCGACCTTACTGAAAATAAAACGTCTCCGGTGTTGTCATCGAACCAAGTGTAGTCATCCGAAATGATGTCTACACAAAACCAAAGAGAAACTTCCACGCAAGTAGGACCAACAGAATCAACATAGCCTGACTGCTGTGTTCAAAGCAAACTTGAGAAAAACGAAGAATGCAACCATGGCTTAAATCCACTATAGGCTGAGTACTAGTTTACCTTAGATGTGCACTTTATAATGTTATATTGCTCTGTTTTGATTCCATAAAAAGAGCAGTTAAAGCAGCTGTTGTGTGACAAAATATTTTTTCACCGTTGTTGATAGAGTAATATTGTGTGAGAGATTATGTATGAATAACTGCTCCAAGTGAAAAATGTTCGTGTAAAATTGAAAATCGAAATTATTTCAGTAAATATTTGCATTTTGCACAAAATTGATTCATGATTCCATGTTGATGAGAGCATTAAAATAGGGAAAAAAAGCTAAAAAATGTGTGAGTAATCACGATCAATTTTTCGTGAATTAGAGTTAATTATGACAGTTGCATTTTTAATTAGATTAAATATTTTAATTGTTTTGACAGCTCAAATACACACACACACACACACACACACACACACACACACACACACACACACACACACACAAAACACAAGGCCAACTCTGCCAGCTTTTCTCAATTTGTGCTTTCTGCATGAGATGATCTTTCTTTTTAAAACTATGTCCGGGAAGGGCACACGAAATTTACTCACAAAGGTTCTTTCTCGCTGCTGTTTCTCCTCCACTTCCTTCATCATTTCAGTGATTCTCTGCAACTTAGCGTCCATCAGCTGTTGCTGTAGCTCTTTATGCTTGAAAACTCTGTCTATGTGCTTCAAGAGGGACACACACATTTTACGGGTCAGAAGCAGGAACTGTGATTGAATGTATGAAGATTCAAGGCTTCTCACAATTTCAGTTGGCCATCATAGAGTGGTTAAGAATGAGGCATAAAGTGTCCTTGAGTGTATTGAAAGGCGCTTATAAATGAAATGTATCATTATTATTATTATTATTATATATGCAAACATACCAAGGTTTAATGAGGCTGGTCTGAATATAGATGTATATATCTATGTATCTAGAGATGGGTGCCTCTGGGCAACTCCAACTGTTTACCATACACTGATCAGCAAGCCAGCAATGATGTGTCTCCAGTGAAGACATAAAGTACCATATTTTTTTATAAATAGTATTCCTTGCTGTTCCTAGCACTGCGCTTTTCTGGACTGAGATGTCCGATGCTGTTCCCGGGATCTGTTGCAACCATTCATCCAGTTTGGGGGTCACTGCCCCCGAGTGCTCCGACCACCATAGGCACTACTGTCACCTTTACCTTCCAGGCTCTGTCCAGCTCTTCTCTGAGCCCTTGATCTTTCTCCAGTTTCTCGTGTTTCTTCTTTCTGATGTTTCCATCACTTGGGATCGCGACATCCACTACAATGGCTTTCCTCTGCCCTTTAGCTATGATCACGATATCTGGTTGTTTCGCCATTACGATCTTGTCAGTCTATATCTGGAAGTCACACAGGATCTTCGCTTGTTCATTCTCCACCACCTTTGGAGGTGTTTCCCATTTTTACCTTGGGGTTTCCAGTCCATACTCCACACAGATGTTTCGGTTGACTATGCCAGCCACCTGGTTATGGCGTTCCATGTAAGCTTTCCCTGCCAGCATCTTCCACCCTTGCAGTTATGTGTTGGATCGACTCAGGTGCCTCTTTGCACAACCTACACCTTGGGTCTTGTCTGGTGTGGTATATATCGGCCTATATAGCTCTGGTGCTCCGGGCCTGTCCTGAGAAGCCAGGATGAGTGCCTGCCTCTGTGCTGTCCTTCAGGCCAACCCTTCTCTAGCCACTGATAGGACTTTAAGACTTTTTCAGATCAGCCACTTCTGTTATGGTCCGGTGGTACATCCCGCGTAGGGGCTTGTCCACTCATGATGGTCCCTCTTCCTGCACATCATCCTCTGTTCCCCATTGTCTGAGACATTCTCTGAGTCCATCATCCGTTGGAGCCTTCTCCTTGATGTATTCATGGAGCTTGAATGTTTCATCCTGGACAGTGGCTCTCACACTCACTAGTCCCCAGCCTTCTTCCTTGCGGCTTGTGTACAGTCTCATGGTGCTGGATTTGGGATGGCACCCCCCATGCATGGTTAGGACCCATCCGTGGTCTGAATCTCTTCCTTTGGCCACCTTATTATTCCTGCAGGATATCTGATCAGTGGCAGGGCATAGCTGTTTCTTGCCAGGTCTTGTTCTTGTCTTTGAGCTGGCTTCTTAGGCCTTGCCTCACCCGCTGGGGGTATTTGGCCGTCGTCGCTTTTCTTGTTGCCAGTTCAAGGTTGCCATTGGCTTGTGGTATACCGAGGTACTTGAAGCTGTCCTCAATGTCTGCTATTGTGACTTCAGGGAGTGAGACCCCTTCAGTGTGGACTACCCTGCCTCTCTTAGTCCCCACCCGACTACATTTCTCAAGCCCGAATGACATCCTGATGTCACTGCTGTAGATCCTGGTTGCGTGGATCAGGGAGTCTATGTCCCTTTCGCTCTTAGCATACAGCTTTATGTCATCCATGTAGAGGAGTTGACTGGTGGTAGCTCCATTTCTGAGGCGGCATCCATAGCCAGTCTTGGCGATTCTTTGGCTTCGGGGGATTCAGTCCTATGCAGAACAGTAATGGGGAGAGTGCATCACATTGGTATATGCCACATTTGATGGACACTTGGCTAAGTGGCTTGCCATTGGCTTCAAGTGTGGTTTACCACATCCTCATCGAGTTCGCAACAAAGGCTCTTCGGGTCCTGTTCATCTTATACAACTCCAAGCATTCAAGTGACCCATGAATGTGGCACTGAGTCATAGACTTTCTTGTAATCAATCTAGGCTGTGCACAGGTTGGTATGTCGGGACCTGCAGTCTTGTGCGACTGTTTTGTCAACCATGAACTGATGATTGGCTCCTCTGGTATCTTGACCAATGCCCTTCTGTGCTTCGCTCATGTATTGATCCATGTGTCCACTTATCTTAGCCGCAATGATGCCTGACACGAGCTTCCATGTTCTGGAGAGACAGGTTATTGGCCAATAGTTGGATGGGACTGCACCTTTTGAGGGATCGGTTTGCCATCCTGGGTGAGTCCCATCCCTCAGCAACTGGTTCATTTGCACTGCTAGGCGCTCATGGAGTGCTATGTGTTTCCTTAGCCAGTAGGTGTGGACCATGCCCGGGCCTGGCGCTGTCCAGTTTTTCATATCTGAGACTCTTTCCTGTATGTCTGCCACTGTTATGGTAACTGGGTTCTGTTCAGGGAGGTTGCTGTGCCAACGTGCACTGCTGTTATGTGCGACCTCCTTCCCATATACCTTTCAGTTTAGAGTCTTGGACGGGTCTGCTCTGCTGTTAGAACCCTGCCACTGAGCGTACACTTTCGCAGGTTGTGTTGCGAACAGCCTGTTTATTCTTCTGGCCTCATTCTTTTTCGTGTACTTCTTTAGGCGACTGGACAAGGCTTGTAGCCTTTGTTTGGTAGTTTCGAGTGCTTTGGGTCTGGTCATCTGGATGTACCATCACATCTTTCTGGGTCTGCGTCAATTGACTCACATCTTTCTAATCCGCCTTGATCTTAGCCTCCAACTGTCTTTTCCAGGGTGTGTAACGTAAGATACGTTACACACCATGGAAAAGACAGTTGGCTCTCATGGTTGCTCTTATAGCCAAGCATCTCTAGAATCACCGATGCTGAAGCGTTTCCGTGATTGTTACGGTAGGGATCGCCCTCAGTGCTGCATTCACAGTTCCCATGAGACTTTCAGGTGGTACTTCACATAGTTGTTGTCATCAGTTTCTAGGTTGCCCAGCCTTCATTCTCGTCATGACCTTAGCTTTCAGGTCAGTTGCTGCCTCGCTCAGCATTTCATTCATTGGGGCTCGCCTCCCAATCTCATCATCTGCATTCATTGCAGCTTGCAATAACCTCCTCCTCTGATCTGGCAGCCTGGGGCCCTTCACCATGGAATCTGTGTTGTACCTCATCAATCTCAAGTTGTGATAGCAATTGCTGTTTGTGGATGTTGGAACACTGTTGTTTCGTGGTAACCATTCAGCCCACATTCTCTGCATGTCACCCCTTTGACGAGGGTTACTTGAGTAGGAGCATTCCAACAGAGCCATGTTATCGCATCTCGCCCATCTCTGCTTCGTTCCAGTAGCTCATTTTTCATCAAGGTGCTCTGGTTCCCCAGCACCTGACACAGACCTTGTTTGGTCGGGCGATGTCTGAGCCGGCATGTCAGTCATTTTATTGTCTCTCATCATGGTATGAGGTAGGCATTAGCGTGAAGGGTCTTGCCCAAGAACCGACACTGGATGATGTTATGTGCTCATATTGCCCCAAGCGGATTTCGAACCGCAGTTTCCCGTACACCAAACCAGTGACTTAATATATAAACAAATATTTGACGATAATTGCTCACTGATCAAATTTGATTTCACAGCAATGTGCCACAGACGGTCTCTTACCTCCTCTCGGAGCTCATACTGTTCAATGAGCTTTTTGAGTTTCTCAGCAAGCTCCAAGTTCTCCTGCCTCAGCTTAGTGTTGTGTGAGCTGTGTTGCTCCATCTGGGCCTCAACATCACTTAAAGTCATCTGGAAGTGAAGCATGGCTTCCTTGCGTTGCTCTTCATACTCCCTGGATCGCTGGGCATTTTCCTCCTATTTGAAAGCGAGAAGAAGTGGAGGTCAGAGGCCTGCGTTAAATTTTTGGTGACAATGTCATATTCAGGTCAGTAAACTGACATGTCATGTGGTATTTAACGTAATGGAATTTTCAATGTTTTTCGGCGTTTGTAATTGTAGTGTGTTGCAAACCTTCAAAGTCTTGTTGTGTCTTTGGAGCTCCCGACAGAGGCTCTCCAATTTGCTGCGGGCCAGGATAGCTTTACTGTGCTCCCCCTGCAGGTGGATCTTCTCTTTTACAATCTGAGACTGCTTTTTCTGCAGGGCTTTCAGACGCTTCTGCATGCAACGGCTTTCCTCCAACTGAATTCCCAATACAAGCAACATCCCATCATTATTCCAGTTACTACAGTATTCAATTTTGGTACAGAACCAAGTTATCTCAAATCTGCACAATGTTTAGGGTCAGGTGAGATATTAAGGTGGCTGTCCGACGACAAATCCTCCGTGACAAGTCCAGTTCATGATAATTTTTACTTTACAGGATGTGATTCTCGATATTTCTCAATTTTCTCCAGGGGTTAAAACAAAGACTTTTAAGAGTTACAATAACAACAATAATAATGTAGAATTTTCTTAATCATATTTTGAATAATTTGATATGTGTATCGTATCGTTAAAAGAAAACAAAAGAAAATCTTTATTACTCTGCAACTCTCAACCCTAATGTTCCCTCGAGTGTGTGTAGCAAAATGTTGCATGCTCTTAAATCGCGGTATCAAAATTAAAATTGTGTTCAATTTGGACCCTTTAATTCATTTTTAAACAATTACTGTATTTTCCGCACTAAAAGGCGCACTGGATTATGAGGCGCATCTTCAATGAATGGCTATTTTGCAATTTTTTTTCATACACTGGACACATCACATAAGGCGCAATCAGAGATGAAAGTGGACTTTTCTGAAAATTCCCGAAAGAAAAAAGAAAAAAAAATATATATAAAAAAAAAATGCTCGTCTCACCCCTCGGGTGGTGTCCATCCCTCATTCAGCTCGGGTCCTCTACCAGAGGCCAGGAAGCTTGAGGGTTCTGCGCAGTATCCTTGCTGTTCCCAGCACTGCACATTTCTGGACTGAGATGTCCGATGTTGTTCCCGGGATCTGTTGCAACCACTCATCTAGTTTGGGGGTCACTGCCCCGAGTGCTCCGACCACCACAGGCACGACTGTCACCTTTACCTTCCAGGCTCTCTCCAGCTCCTCTCTGAGCCCTTGGTATTTCTCGAGTTTCTCGTGTTCCTTCTTTCTGATGTTTCCATCACTTGGGACCGCTACATCCACTACAACGGCTTTCCTCTGCCCTTTATCTATGATCACGATATCTGGTTGGTTCGCCATCACCATCTTGTCAGTCTGGATCTGGAAGTCCCACAGGATCTTTGCTCTGTCATTCTCCACCACCTTCGGAGGTGTTTCCCATTTTGACCTTGGGGTTTCCAGTCCA